CTGAAGGGTTTAAGGGGTGAAAACTACCCCTAATTTTCAAAAATTATAAAATAACATATTAAACCTGAATATGGGTAAAATTTGGTTTGAATTAGTTAAATAATGATTATTTTATACTTTTGAATAGAGTTCCATCATATTTCAACCCTTAAAAGCAACCCTTGTTAGAGGTTAATGTAAAAAATTACTAATTCTAAAAAAATGATTTCGCCTTGGATCGATTTGGATAAAAATTTGGATTTAAGCTCAATTCACCCGCTGCTTTATAGTTTATGTCATGTCGACGAACCCTGATTGTTCTAAGGGGTGAAAACTACCCGTAATTGTCAAAAATTATAAAATAACATATTAAACCTGAATATGGGTAAAATTTGGTTTGAATTAATTAAATAATGATAGTTTCGTGCTTTTTAATAAAGTTCCATCATATTTCAACCCTTAAAAAGCGACACTTATTAGAGATTAATATAAAAAAATTAGTAATGCGAAGAAAATGATTTCACCTTGGAACGATTTGCATAAAAATTTGGACTTAAGCTCAACTCGCCCTCTGCTTTATAGTTTATGTCATGCCGATGAACCCTGATTGTTCTTAGGGATGAAAACTACCCCTAATTTTCAAAAATTGTAAAATAATATTATAAATCTTAAGATGAGTGAAATTTGGTTTGGATTAGTTAAATATTGATTTTTTTATACTTTAAAATACAAATTCATACATTTTCAACCCTTAAAAATCAATTGTTATGAGTGCTATAGGTGAAAACAATTTTTTGCCAAAATTTTGCAACTTTTCAACTTTTGAAAATCACCCTTTACAACATTGCAGTTTTTATAAACTAATTTATAAGATATAAATTGAAAAAAGTAGAATTAAATACAAAAAAATTTATCAACATAAAAAGGCACCATATATTCTTATACATTTACATAAATAGTAGAAAATATTTACATTTATAGGTAAATCAATTATAATATTAATTTTACTCGTCATCAATTACATCTTCATCGTGATCTATGTCATCCTCATCTTCAATTATTGGTGGACTATTATTGTACCCTTCACCTGAGCACCCAGAACAAGTAGAGTTACAGTATAAACCAACTTTTCTGCACCCACATGAAACACCGCATCCTTTTTTGCATTGCCAAAAAATAATTTTCTACAAGGATCTGTGAATTAAATCTTTTTCTAACCCTTGGTTTTTAAATGTGGTGAGTTTAAAGGGCTCGAAAAAGATGGTGCTTGATCGTAAATCGATGCTTTAAACGGCTATATCTCGCCAAATATTCATTGTACAACAAATCTAAATGAAGGATAATTTTAGTCATTAAAAAAGCTACAATTTGGTAATTTGTATTTTTTTTTTATATATTCAGTATTTTTGGGCATATTTAAAAAAAGAAGAGTAAAAAATATGAAATTGTAAATTGTTTCTCGCTTTAAGCTGTACTTTTAGACACACAAAGCATTTTAAATGGGTCAAACTTCTTGGACGTATTAACAATACATGTACAAAGGGAATTTCAGAAGAGTAAAGATCGATTTTAATTATGGAGGAGGTTAGGGTGTTGTTTCGATTTTTTCGTAAAAAATGAGGTATTGACCTTATTTTCATCATAACTCACCCAATTTTTGAGCTAGAGTCTTTTTTATGATACGTCTATTTATGCTCTTTAAAAAAGGTTTTGTGAGTTTTCTTCCAAAAATGCATCATTTTCCCGATATTTGATTTTGAATCTTTCAAATTTGGCATTTGAAGAAAACCGCTGAACATTGATAGGCCGTATTTCGGTTACTATTATATCCCAAAAACATTTTAAAAAATGAATTGTATTTGTCTTTTTAAAAGCTACAAATTTGTTTTCTACAATTTTTTTGATAAAATGCACCATTTTCGAATTATTCGCGAAAAATCGATTAAAAACGTGGATTTTTTCGCCTAAAAGTTATTACTTTCAATCGCGGATAACTTTTATAAATATCATTATGTGATATCATTTTATAAAAAAAATGTATAGCACATTTTTTGTTTAGAATAACTTTTTTAATCGAAACCTGTAGTTAAAACGTAAAAAAAATTTTCACCCCGGAGATGGGGTGGCAACCACCCCCTAGGCTTTGGCGCACTTTGGTTCGATATAGATTTTGATCCTTAGGCTATTACCTACCTTCTGTTAAATTTCAAGTCAATCCAGGGAGCACGAAAAAATTGCGAGCTGAATTGCTTAATTTCCTGGACTATAACTGGTTTGACAGCATAAATCGTAGATTTATGTGTAGCTTTCAATTTTTATGAGTTCAGAATCCAGCAGCCCGCTGTAGTATTGGATTTTTATAATACAATTATTTGACAATATTTTGTTGGCCAACCACCTACAGCAGAATTGAGCCGAAATACATTATATTCCTATGTTCCGAATTTATTTCGTTCAATCTGTATATATATATATATATATATATATATATATATATATATATATATATATAATTGATGGATTCGACCGTTACTTGATGGAAATTCATTTTATGTAACAATAAAACACTGAAAACTTTGTTTTCAAACTTCCACAAAATTTATTTTAACTATTATCACTACAGCTGTTTCGGCTGATTGCCTTTCTCAAGTGATCTATTTTTGGCATGCGTTTACAATTTATAGTCTCTAATGAAACAGGTTGAGGAGGGGAGAACTGTTTGTCTCAAGTTGGTCATTCAGAATTATATCTGTGTTTTTTAATTTGTTGATTTCCATAGATTCTAACAAAGATAGCTTAAGGCCTTTATTTTGAATGTGAAGTATTTTAAATTTGTCATTAAAAGAATGATTATGATCTAGAAGGTGAAGTGCGTATGTCGAATCTGTTTTTCTATTATTGAAAGCCTTTCGACATTTCTATCTATTGAAATATACCGACATTTTTCTTTTGAGGTTGCAGTCATTAATAGGGCAGGATAAGTAAAACTCTTTCTCTCTGTTCTTTTATTTAGCTTTCACAAAATTTATTCGCTTCTTCAGGATATACTAAAATATGGTTTTAATTATTTAATCTCCCAACTCAGTTATACTATATATATATATATATATATATATATAATATATATATAATATATATATATATATATATATATATATATATATATATATATATATATATATATATATATATAATATATATATATATAAAGTATTCGACTAGTGAATTCAGAGGTTAATCGGTCATTCAGGTTGGCAAAATAAAAAACAGAAGTCAACTACTTCATAAGTTTATAGAAGACGTTTCGCTTTATACTTCTAAAGCTTCATCAGTTCTAACTCAATATTTAGTATTTAAGATGTTATTATATAGTACTTAAGTTTACCCATTATTTAGAACTAACTTCAGAAACAAAGGACACAAAAACTTTGCAAAAAATAATATCATTCGCAGAAACGAAGATTTAACAAAATTTTAACAAACAATTTTAAACAAAACACTGGTGAGTGTTTTGTTTGTCTGCATTGGAGAACCATCTCTAAATGAAGCCAAATGTAAAGCTATTTAATTGTTATTTAAAATTGGAAAGCTATAAAATGCTGTACCGGGTACAAAACTCTTACACATATTGTCAACGGCACTACCATACTCTGCACACCTCATATTGGGAAAAATTTAAAGCCTTGTAACACTTTTAAAATATTATTTTACTAAATATTGGCTATGAACCGTAAATGTACATAAACATCAAAACACAATATGGCGAAATTTAGCACAAGTTGACGTCACAAATGTCATGCATAAGCCACGCCTACATGCGCGGTATCTTATCTGTTTGTATTTGTATCATGAACTGTAAGGATGGTATTTACAGGTACACAAAATTACAAGATTACGGATAATTGCAAATTAAAATATCGGACACGCCGTCGTTAATAGTTTTCGTCTTTCGTATTTCTTCTTTTCTCTGGCGGGTGTTGCACAATAATTAACCTTCACAGCGCGAGTGCCAAATATCGAATCTCTTTTAGGTCAGGCATGTGTGATTTTGTCTATATTTTTCCTGTCCCTTTCCGACGATGGCGACCTGTCTGGGGCGCCTTAAGAATATGGTTTTAGTGGTATCTCGCCGTGGCGTAACTAACAAATAAAACTATGCTAAATACTTAATAATAGAAATATTTCCTACATTACTTATTGTCTATTACCTAGCTAAACATTTATTATCAGATTGTATAAAAAATGTTTTGTGTAAAACTAGAGGTTGCTGGTTAAATGAAATTAGAATAATAATGGAAGAAAAAATGCAATATTCTGATTGTCAATAAATTAGCAATTAATTTAAATATTACGAAAATTGGGTGGCTTAACTCATTGCTGTTAAATGTACAAATAAGGGACTTACTTTTGAAATATTGGGGTAATATTCGTAGCAGGCAGTAGAATAGTAGCTACGCGTAGCGATTTTCGGTACGCCGGGGCACGATAGGACGTAACCGATAAACTGGATGTGTTTTGTTCGCTATCTCGACAAAAAAGTGTGTAGTTTTTGCTATGTATTAGTCAGAAACTCTCTGGTCATGCTTCTCGATGGTCCTTAGGGCAAGTGCATACCAATAAATAAACTCTATTTTATTGCGATTTTAAATGGCAATAATTTTAACCGAATGGTCACAGAAATATGATACTTTACAGCGGTTTCTGTGTTTACGACAAAATTTCCAAAATAACAAAAAAAAATCAGTTTCTTTTAACTTAAAAACAGACTCAATATTAGCCAGTTTGACAAGGAGATTTTACTGAATAAACAAAGTAACATTTTTAAAGCAAATAAGTCGATAGAATATACCATTAAATAAGATTATATTATAGTACAGTAAAAAAAAATGTAAAATCTTAAAGTAATACTAAATACTTTCCCAAACAGAAAGATTGTAATAAAAGTTGGTTTAATAAAAAAATATACTTAATCGAAATGTTCTTTTTGTATATATAAATTAAGTTATAAATTTTTGTTTTAGCTCAGAATATGATTGAGTTTATTCTTGCCACAACCAAATTTAGTACTGAAATAGCCAAAAAGAAGTTGGACATGTATTATACTATAAGAAGCATATATCCAAATTATTTCAATAATTTAAACCCAAAGCTTCCATATGTCAGAAATGCTTTTAATGCAGGGTAAGTATAATTTGCACATTTCAAAAATTTATAGAATGTAGTAGTCGATAAGTATTTGGATTATATAGTGGACGTTGGTATAAAGTTTAAAATTTTTTTTTATTTGAAACTGCTACAATGGTAGATTTTACAGATAACATACGTATAAAAAGAAAACAAAGAATACAATTAGATTTTGTTGATTAGTCCTGAGGAAACCAAAACACGTGTGGCACGATTGTGGTCACTATGTTCACTTAGAATGTCTTTTATTGTTGTAGGTAACTGTGCATGTTGTCTTTCAAATCCGTACAACGGACACTCAACTAATAAGTGATGTATTGTTAGATCACTATCACACGCGTAACACAAAGGTTTGGGTTGCTTCTGACGTAGGAAATTATGAGTGATCTTGATTTGTCTTAATCGTTGTCTGGAGATGATATCTTGAACTCTTCTTTTCATAGATAGTCTCCATGGTAGGACAGTTTGTTTTGTGGATCTAAGGTTAGAATTGATTTGAGACATCCTATGTTTCTTGCTATTTGTTTGTCGGCTCTTTCATTTCCTTTTATTGCACAATGTGAAGGGGTCCAAAAAAACTGAACAGTTCGATGATTGATGTGGCATATCATGAGTTCCGACTTAAAATAGGGTGTTTAGTAAAAAGTTTGTTTAATGAGGATAATGAACTCAATGAATCACTTATTATTAGGCTATTAACAATTTTATTTTCATTGACGAATTTTATTGCCTAAAGAATGGCAAATAATTCATCAGAAAATATAGTGAATTGCTTAATGAGTTGAAATGACCGTTCTTCGCTGGTTGTAACAAATGCAACACCCACTTTATTTTCCGATTTTGACGCATCATTATAAATGTGGATGGACTTGTGATAACTATTTAACTTCTCTAAGGCTTTGATTTTAAAGAGGTATGATGAAGTATCAGATTTTTTAAATGATGTAAGACTGATATCGCACTTTAGGAGAGATATTGTCCATGGTGGAGGATTATCAGAATTTGTAAGTATGTATACGGGAGGTATAGGGACGTCTAGGTTATTTAGGATTGTGCTGATACGATAAATCTGTCAGCAAAAGTGTTACTGAAAACAGGAATGGTTGGATTTGCCGCCACCCTTGTAGTATATGAAAGACTTAAATATTGCCTTCTAAGCTGAAGTGAAGGCTCTTCAGATTTACAGTACATGCTCTTAATAGGGCTTTTGTAATGTGCTCCCAGTGCTATCCTAATTGCGGAATTATGAACTGGATCGAGAATTTTTAGTATTGAAGTTTTTGCCGAGTTGTACGCAACTACCCCATAATCAAGTTTTGAGCGAATTAGGGATCTGTATAAAGTCATTAATTAATTACTATCTTACTGGAAATAACCAAAATTAAAGATAAAAATACGTTTATTGACGTTTCAATTTCCCCTTCGGAAATCGTTCTCAAAATACAAACAGTAAATTAAACAAATTTTGTTTTTTTGTTACATAGTGAAAAATTCTTCTAATAATTTAATTTTATCTAACTCATTTATATTAACAATTCAGACATACATTATGCATTTTAAAATAGACGACTTTAAAATGATATTGCCAATATTTTTGAGTTGCGCTCCTGGGACGACTTTACTTATAAGATAGTTCATTCGATTACATGAAATCAACTTTAACTTGAGAATATCCGTCAGAAAAAAATCATAGCATGTAATTCATCTTTAAAAAAACTCATTACATGATGACAGTAAAATTCTCCTGTAAGTGATTCCATAGTAAATTATAAGGGGAAAAACCAGGAAAAAAACCTCATAATACTATCTCGACATGGTAAGTATTTGTTCGTGCATTTAGTTTACCTTCAATAAACACCAAAATTCTGATTTTATATGTTTCGTTATTTAAAAAACATAAATGATGTATCCTCCATATGTTACTGACTTACTAGTACTGGTATTTTCTTATTAATAACTTTCTCTTTCAATATTGGTAACCAGATCCTACTACATTCTACCGAGGAATTTGCGACAAAATTGGCCTCATTTAGCATAATTAGAGCCGCTTCTTTAATTTTTCTTTTTTTACCATCCGTTTCTTTTAGGACTACATTTGAATTATTCCATTGAACCCTATGTTCATTATCCCATGCGTGTTTACATATTTGAGATCTATCAAATTCTCTATTTTTAATATAAGATTGATGTTCACTTATTCTAACATTTAATGGCCTTGATATTTCACCTAAATAAAACTGATCGCATACACAAGGTATTTTATAAATGCAATTCTTTATCCTTTCTTGTTCATTGTTAGGTTTGGTCTTGGACAAAATGGATCTCAACAATACTTACCATGTCGGGATAGTATTATGACGTTTTTTTCCTGGTTTTTTCCCTCATAATTTACTATGGAATCACTAACAGGAGAATTTTACTGTCATCATGTCATGAGTTTGTCTTTTTAAAGACGAATTACATGCTATGATTTTTTTTTGACGGATATTCTAAAGTTAAAGTTGATTTTATGTAATCGAATGAACTATCTTATAAGTAAAGTCGTTCCAGGAGCGCAACTCAACAATATTGGCAATATCATTTTAAAGTCGTCTACTTTAAAATGCATAATGTATGTCTGAATTGTCAATATGAATGAGTCAGATTAAATTAAATTATTAGAAGTTTTCACTATGAAAAAAAAAAACAAAATTTGTTTAATTTACTGTTTGTATTTTGAGAACGATTTCCGAAGTGGAAATTGAAACGTTAATAAATGTATTTTTATCTTTACTTGTGGCTTATTCCCAGTTGAATAGTAATTAATTTAAAATGCCACAAGAAAATAGCTTAAGAACAATATAAAGTCATTAGTGTTTGAAAGTCCACCCCCCATTGCTTGTGAGCTTTACTTCTTAAAAAATATAGTCAATTTTGTGTAGATTGTCGAAGAAAGTACACAAGTTCTTTCCAAGTAAAACGGTTATCTAAGTTCATGCGAAGAAAATAAATAGATTTTACATATTCAATATAATTTTTATTTAATACTAGGTTTGGAGGAATTGAACTAGCTCCAAAGCGTTTGCTGAAAAGCATAGCTTTTGTTTTATCGGAAGAGAACCGCAGACCAGTAGTATTAGACCAGTTTTCAAGTTTGCTAATAGCTCCTTGAATATGACGTGATATTGATGATAAATTTTTTCCTCTTGAGTAGATGACCAGGTCGTCCACAAATAGATAGGCTTTGACTTAAGGTGAAAATGAGTTGGCAATATTATTCATTGCATTAAGAAATAAAGTAACACTAAGAGTGGACACTTGAGGAATACCGTTTGATTGGGTTTTAATATCAGAATAAGTGCTGTCTATTTGAACTTGGAAATGTCGCTTCAGGAGAAAGTTTCGGATGAAATGCAAGATGTTTCCTTGAATGAAGCAGCTTGACAAGGCATTTGAAATATCTTGTCTTCAAATTGTGGCATAGGCGTGAGTTATATCGAAGAAAAGAAAATAGCTAAACAGTCCTGCCCACAGCAAAATTATTCATGTACTACAGATTCCATGTCTACTGTGTTATCAGTAGTAGAATCTAGATTTTCTAAAGCCGCTTTGAATTGAACTAAGAAGTTTATTTTCCTCTAGATGCCATAGTATTCTATTACTGACCATTTTCTCGAGTACTTTACACATAGAACATGTTAAAGAGATGGGTCTGTAAGATTCTGGACTCAATTTACTTTTACCATTTTTAATATTTAAAATTTCTTCTACCATGCATTTAATGTTTTAGATTCGGTCACTATTTAAAGTAAATGTATTCACACATGATTATACCATAGTTGATTACAATAAAAAATAAATGAAATGAGGTTGAATGCTCGAATAAATGAACTTTAAAAATAAGGCTATTATCGAGCACAAGTTAATTAAATCTAGCCCAAGTACTTTCGCTTAAAATAGCATCTTCAGGGGCATTTCGTCAAAATGTAAACTATCCGACAAGCGTAGAATGTGAAAACATTAAAAATAACATAAAATTGTACAAAACAAAACACTAAAACGAGGACAAACAGTTTAAAATTACTTAAAGATTCTACGCTACATTCTCTGTCAGTATCTGGATTTTAAACTGTTTGTCCTCGTTTAAGTGTAGTGTTTTGTACAATTTTATGTTATTTTTAATGTTTTCACATTCTACGCTTGCCGGATAGTTTACATTTTGACGAAATGCCCCTGAAGATGCTATTTTAAGCGAAAGTACTTGGGCTAGATTTAATTAACTTGTGCTCGATAATAGCCTTATTTTCAAAGATTACAATAAAAGTTATATTTTACGTTGGTTTTTGACGTTTCGACTTCCACAATTCTTAAGAAAAGAGGTTATTTCAAAATAAGTTTTTGTTATAACCTAGATTTGTCAAATAATTGGTGTTTTTTGTTTACCTAAAATTTGACCGGTGACTTACCTGTCAAATTTTTTTTGCCTCGATTTTGTGGGTTAATAGCCATGCTTTTAGTAGAAAGTTCCGGAGGTGGTATTTGTACGTTCAGGATGATATCAAATTTTGAGTTTTGTATGTAATATAAAGATATATTCTCCTACTGGAATGAAAATGTTTAAATTATCACGCACAATATGCCTGCACCAGACCCGTTTACAGGTTTATAAACTCTTTGTATTGGTATTTAAACCGTCAAAGTAAAAAATTGGAAACAGTAGAACCCACGAAATATGTGTACAACGAGGTTAGGCAGCATTGTATTCTTTTCCCAAAAAAATTTTATTTCTACTTATATCAAGTATTTAAATAATCACGTGAAGACCAATAATATAAAATAAAAATAAATAAGGAGTAAATTTATGCGATTGGATGATATAATGGTTTTATCAGACATTGTTGAAAGCTTTTAGATTCTGCCAAATCGTATCCACGAAGTGAGATGTGTGGTATATGTGTGTGGTGTGGTGCGGTGTTATAATGAAAGTTATAATAATTTATATTTCTACTCTTACATTTTTAATCAAATTTATTAGCAATTCTAAGGTTTCTCTAATTTGGAAATTTGAACAATAGCGTTAGTCTTGATAGATTTTAGGTGATTTGCATCAAGCTGAAAACAACTCTTTTAGGTTTTCAAAAAACTTCGACGAAAATCTATTCTTCGTTACCTTTGCAGATACTTCATTGTACAGATTTTTTGGTTTTGTTACTTTGGTTGCTGTACTACATTTTCGTTAATTACTATTTAACTGGGAATAAGCCACAATTAAAGATAAAAATACGTTTATTGACGTTTCAATTTCCACTTCGGAAATCGTTCTCAAAATACAAACAGTAAATTAAACAAATTTTGTTTTTTGTTACATAGTGAAAAATCCTTCTAATAATTTAATTTTATCTGACTTATTTATATTGACAATTCAGACATACATTATGAATTTTAAAGTAGGCGACTTTAAAATGATATTGCCAATATTGTTAAGTTGCGCCCCTGGGACGGCTTTACTTATAAGATAGTTCATTCGATTACATGAAATCAACTTTAACTTGAGAATATCCGTCAGAAAAAATCGTAGCATAAAATTCGTCTTTAAAAAGACAAACACATGACATGATGACAGTACAATTCTCCTGTTAGTGATTCCATAGTAAATTATGAGGGAAAAACCAGGAAAAAAACCTCATAATACTATCCCGACATAGTAAGTATTTGTTCGTGCATTTAGTTTGCCTTCAATAAACACCAAAATTCTGATTTTATATGTTTCGTTATTTAAAAAACATAAATGATGTATCCTCTAAATGTTACTAACTTTCTAATACTGGTATTTTCTTATTATTAACTTCCTCTTTCAATATTGGTAACCAGATCCTACTACATTCTGCCGAGGAATTTGAGACACAATTGGCCTCATTTAGCATAATTAAAGCCGCTTCTTTGATTTTTCTTTTTTTACCATCCGTCCCTTTTAAGACTACATTTGAATTATTCCATTGAACCCTATGTTCATTATCCCATGCGTGTGTACATATTTGAGATCTATCAAATTCTCTATTTTTAATATAAGACTGATGTTTTAGACTGCTAAGTCTAATTTTTTTTCCTCATAATTTACTATGGAATCACTAACAGGAGAATTGTACTGTCATCATGTCATGTGTTTGTCATTTTAAAGACGAATTATATGCTATGATTTTTTCTGACGGATATTCTCAAGTTAAAGTTGATTTCATGTAATCAAATGAACTATCTTATAAGTAAAGTCGTCCCAGGAGCGCAACTCAACAATATTGGCAATATCATTTTAAAGTCGTCTACTTTAAAATGCATAATGTATGTCTGAATTGTCAATATAAATGAGTCAGATAAAATTAAATTATTAGAAGAATTTTTCACTATGTAACAAAAAACAAAATTTGTTTAATTTACTGTTTGTATTTTGAGAACGATTTCCGAAGTGGAAATTGAAACGTCAATAAACGTATTTTTATCTTTAATTGTGGCTTACTCCCAGTTAAATAGTAATTAATTTAAAATGCCACAAGAAAATAGCTTCAGAACTACATTTTCGTTTTCTACTTTACGTGACTTTATGCGACATTATTTTACTAATCTTACACCTCTTTTCAATTATAGACTGCAAACTCAGTGGATATTTTAAGGGTGTCTCGACCTGATTCGAACCAACATAAATTATTTATAAATGAATACTACAATATGTAGTACCAACTTTAGTCACTATGCTGCCAAGTCTAATTGTTACTCAGAGCATGGGGGTTCAAAATTAAGGGTTGTGCTTTAGACCACTCACCTCTGTTCCAGCCGAAATTGCCGAAAATGGGCAAAACAATTTTCGAAAACAAAAAATTTTCCCTGCTTCTGGTAAAAATATTTTAATACGGCATTAGGTCGCATGTAATTATTTTTGTATTACCTATCTAAGTTATGAATGCGGTACATGTTTGGCCAAAACAGTTCCCCACCTTAAGAGGTACGTTTACTTAACTGTATTTCACTTGCACTGATAATAATTGACGGCAGAGTTTCTAAAGGTATTACATATTGTAGTATTATTTATTATGTGATTCATGCTGGGTAAAATGACCCACTAAAAATCTCTATTACTATTTGGTTGTGGTCTATTTTATTATTCGGAAAACGAGATTATAATAATATATAAAATATAGTTAATCAAGATTTGTGCTGAATGTTTCCAAATATGATAACAACTGAAATTTTACATATACCATCAAGTGACCTGATTTTATTTTACCTAAAAGTAAACTATTAGAAACAAATGTATTTTTGTTTTCAGATATGTGCTACCCCTTCCGAAAATAATAAAGGAGATGTATAGAGTAGTAATATTTAAGCCCAAGGAAAAATCAGAAAGTATATTCAACGTAACTGAACAGTTATACCTAGTACTCGACTTATACGAAATTAGAATGCACGAAGATTTAATGGCTGGAGATATAATTGTTTTTGATATGACCAATTTAGCACTCGGACATGTATTAAAAGTGTCACCTATGTTTGTGAAAGCAGCAGTAACTATATTGGAGGTTTGTTAGTTTTCATATCGACAGTATTTATTTTTTTTCAGGAATAAATTAGAAGAAGGAATAAAGATATTATCTTTCCTGATATATTTTTTACTTTATTGAGGATTTAATAGTAGGTACAATTAAATCTAGAGCTAAGATTAATACCATAATAAGAATTATTATTAAACTAAGCAGTCTTCTAAGTTAAGCCGCGCCGATTATCATTGCGCCGAACTTTTGACATTCTCTTGGATGTCTTCTTCAGGGTTTGTCTCAGTCTCCCGAGCCTCCAGACATTAATCACTAACCAATATTTTACTCCCACTAGGAACAAAGGATGGTTTATTTATACCATCGATGGTCACATGGTTTGGATGGAGGTTGGCGTGGGGGTTAGCGTAGGGATTGGCACGGGGATTCACTCGCGAACTATCCGTTTCGGATGTTGGAAATCATATTGGCAATCATAACCTTGCTCGCTGCGGCTCGAAACAGCTCCGTTGAGGTTTTCTTAAACCATGTTCTTAAATTCCGCAGCCATGATATTCTCCTTCTACCAGGTCCTCGCTTACCTTTGACTTTACCCTGCAATATAGACTGTATCAGGGAGTAACGGTGCTGATTTCTCATAACGTGTCCCAGATATTGCAATTTTATGCGTTTGATCGTAAACACTATCTCTGGTTCCTTCTTCATTTTTCCTAGAACTTCCTTGTTCGTGATCCTTGCTGTCCATGATATTCTCAGCATTCTTCTATATAGCCACATCTCAAATGCTTCAAGTTTTTTAATAGTGGCGTCTGTAAGCGTCCATGCCTCCGCCCCGTACAACAACACAGAGAAAACATAGCATCTCAAATGTCTCATTTTTGTATCAAGGGATATGTTGTGGCTTTTGAAGATGGCGCTCATTTTGTTAAAGACCGTTCTTGCCTTTCCTATGCGGCACTTTATTTCCTGTAAATTGCTCCACTGTTCGTTGATACTAGTTCCCAGGTAACAATACTGTTTTACTTGCTCTATCTGCGTCCCATTAATGTATATATGAGCCCCATTTATATTCTCCTTGCTGATAATCATTTGTTTCGTTTTGTGAGTATTAACTCAAGGATTAGCGTGTACATTTCTGACAGCAGATTTTTGATTGGCGGATGGAGCGGATGATATTTTCTTTATGAGAGCTCTCCATGTCGAAGGTACCGTATGCCGTCATATCTTTTATTGAGAAAATTTGGCCTCTATTCAATTTGTATAATAGAAATAAAGGTGTATGTTTGTTTGTAAACATAACGTGCAGAATTGTAAGTTTTGCACAGATAGCAGTAAAAAGTAAATTCAAATATGAAGTGTAATCGTGCGATAAAAATTGCATAAGTATCTTATTTAACCTCTGTGAAACTAAAGTGTCATTTAACAGTTTATTTAGGGACTGTAGTGTTAAATCTGCATTACGCATATGCACAATAGTATTGTTTGGAATATAGTTTCAAAGTGGTAAACCATAGCTTCACTTAAAGTACCAACCATTTATAGACTTTTGAAATGACGAAAGCCAGGAAGTTCACATTACGGAAGCACTGAAAATATCAACAGCAAGAAAACCCCCATAAATAGACGATATATTCATCATCATTCTCGTTTTACAACCCTGTGTAAGTTCTAGTCTCCTTAAAACTATCTCTCCAGTCGTCCCTATACATCACCTTCCTCCGCAAAGCATGTATTTCCATATTTATCATATCTTCATCGATGTTATCAAGAAACCTTCTTCTTCCCGGGTCTTCCTGTTCTTCTCTGATCAATGGGTCTACCAAGGAGCGTTTTCCAGCTAAGTCATTTTGTTCCATCCGCTTTACCTACCCATCTCAGACAACCTATCTTAATATGTTTTACGATATCTAGTTCCTGGAATGGTCTATAGAGTTCAAAGTTGTATCGTCTTCCCCATAGTCCATTGTTACTCACTGCTCCATAGATTGCCTTCGTATTTTGTTAGAGTCCAGGTTTCTGAAGCACATTTAAGGATTGGGCGTATTATTGTTTTGTAGAGTTTAATTTTTGTACTTTTAACATAAATCAACGATATATTAAAACAAGAAATTCAAGAAAACTGTATTACTTTTAAAATAAGATACGTACTTTGGACCACCTTTTTTTCCTCTACATGGCTATTTTGACTTTATTGTCTACTGGACCACAAATTCCGGTAGAGTTTTAGTTAAACCAATGTCGTACCTTATGCAATTAAAATATTCTTCTTCCTGGACCTCCTTTTCCATGCACCTTACTTTGAAATATGGTCCAAACTAGGTCTTATCATTGTTAATTACGCATTATATGTCCCAGTTCTTCCAGTTTGCAACGATTTACTGTTATGACTAGTATGTGCCTTCGTTAGAATCTACTTAGCAAAAAACTCTAGAAGTCAAGTTGCTTGTTACAATATATAACCTTTTTATATAATATAAATAAAAGCGTTTTTGGAGCTCAACAAACTAAAACAAAAACTCAAAAACTTATAATGACTGTGTTCGTTTCGCTTACAGTAATACATTTATATTACATGTATTTAATAATACACTAATGACAGCATACCATATTTTGTTTCAGAATCTGTACAGCACTAGAATAAAAGAAGTTCATATTTTAAACTATCCTTCAGTTTTTGACAAATTATTAGCGATAGCTAAGTTGTTTATTAAACCAAAACTTTATGATAGGGTAAGCAATACATTTTTTTAAATAATACGTTTTTATTATGTACACTTCATCTAATTTATATAACGATGCACGTCATCGGCGTCATAGCCTGTGACGTCACATGATACCACCACAAAATATTTAGGGTGTAGGTGTGTTCTTTTTTAGAATCACTTTACCGAGTACACTGGCATCACAGCCACTAGACATATTTTATTATATACGCGTAGAAATAATATTTAAACATTTCTATTAATGTTAACTTAAAGAAATACACAATAATATGTTTCATTTAATTTGTATAAATGCATTATAAAGCGTTTTTATCAAGAACATTTGTTCGGAACACACTGTAACTATAATCGAACGAAAGTAAAATTTTGGCATAAATTGGTAACACTTACTTGACAGTTGCGGTGTTGACACTTTTTGTACTTTATTATTTTGAATTTTAAAGTGAATATCTCTTGTTTTATATTTTTACCTATTTAATAAAATCTGCGCTTTCTAGAACAAAATTAGTGTGTTTTATTTCAAAAATGTCACGTAAGAATTTAAATAGTCACTGCAAAGAGATGGTAATACTTTTGCAATAATTATGTGATCTATTTGATTTAAAATGGAGTCAAGATTTTTTTTATACTTTGGCAACTATGTGAACTTCGATCTCTGACGTAGATCATGACGTAAGTCGTTATCTAAATTAGGTGAAGTATAGATATTTATTATATTCAAAAACATTTTTCAAACAAAATGTGTTCTTGTTAAATGTAAATTCTCCAAGTCCACAACGGCAAGTAAGTATAGAATAGTCTACGCTTACACCTAGAATGCAACGACCGTGTTAAAAAATTGGCACAATGACTTTAGTCGTGATCGTTGATCTCTGGAGGACGTATTCCGTAAAGGTTGTTATAACGAAAACCATTGATGCTGTGCATGAAGTGACAGAGCAAAATCGTCAAGTGACATACCGTGTGATTCAGGCTTCCTTGGGCATTAGTATGACAAGCATAAATAAGGTATTGCATGATTATTTGGCTGTGAAAAATATTTGTTTATGTTGTATCCCACATAATCTGACAAAAGGTCAAAAAGAGGCTCGTGTCAATTAAAAAAGTTATTCAAAATTTATTCGTGGAAGAAGCACATCGAAATACATGGTTACTTGTTTCTTTGTTATAGCTAGTCATGTAGCTACAGTGCCGTTACAAGAATGTAAGAGGGTCATTCTGAAAGGTTCACAACCATTTGTTTGCCAGAAGTTTTTAGTGAAACTCAAAAAAAAATAATAAGAGCAGGCGAATCATTTCTAACCACGACAATACAAGCTAAGAAGCTAACACACATCAGCACACATATCGGAGTTTTTGACCGGCCAAACCATCAAATTAATGGGTCATCCGCTATACAGTCCTGATTTGGCACCCAATGACTTCTTTTTATTCTCACACATCAAAAATAAATTGCGTGGTCCATACAATAGCAACAACCGAAGAATCAGTTGAAGCGTTTATAACCAATGTTTTGGATTTACCTAAATCTAAATGGAAAACGTGCTTCGAATATTATTTCACACGCATGCAAAAGTGTATTGATTTTCATGGAGAACATTTTATAAACTTTTTGAACACTTTACGGCCGTTTTTGAGCGTAAAAATACTTGTTTTTTTATTGTCAGGCCAGAAATGTAAATAGCAACCTCTCGTATTAAATACATAATAAAATAGTTAACGTATTATTATAAATTCATCTTTTTTCTTTTGGTACTTTTTTCAAATTAGGCTTAACTCATCCAAATATTTTAAAAACTCTATTTTTCAAATTAAAGTTTCGTATTTTATTTTTTAGCTTAAACTCCATTCCTCATTTGAAAGTTTTTTAAACTATGTTCCTTTAGAAGTTTTGCCTAAGGATTATGGAGGTGAAGAGAAATCGTTGGATGAATTGGAAAGTACGTATGCTCAATATGTATCTATACCTGTATCTTGTAGTAGTTTCCTTTATATTGTATTTGGATACATAACTACTTATTTTAAACATTTTACAATTTCCTTTATTTATTTGTAGGAGAGCTTGAAACATAATACTATGCCATAAAAATTAACGGGTTAATATTTTTTAAATATTTGCATATTGACATAAAAATGATGCTATATATTTAAGTTCAGAATACGAACTTTTCCCGAAACTCACTGAGAATATTTTTTTATGCAAATGAGATACAATGACAAAATCTGTACAGCTTTTCATAGAAAATGGCAAATACTGTACAAAGTATGAAACAAGAAATCTATTTTAAAAAAGTATTATAAATATTTACTGACAGAAAGTACTAATTAGATACGTTAAATACGATCATATATTTCAGACTAACTGCGATTAATTTACAAAGGCAGAATGATACACAGGTATATCATTCTGCCTTTGGGTATATCATTCTGCATCAGAGGCAAGTGCCTCTGGACGTATACCTGTGGAACCGTTTAAATTTTATCCAGATGTAAAGCCAAACAAATAATTAAATAATTAAACAAAAAAGTCAATATTTTCTAATGAAAAACTGCTTACGTCTCTTTCTTCATACAAGAAATGAAATAAAGAAAAATAATGAAAGAAACTACAAAGGACTTTTTAGTAGCTTAGGAAATGTCTGTATTCATACAAATATGATACAAAGTGAGGTTAAAGAGGTTGAAGTCTGGGACAGATAGAATGATTTCAGAATAAGTAAATGATCTATTGATAACCTCTTTTCCCTAAAACAACGAATAGTGTATATTTTGCACTATATGTACTGTATACTGACATAGTATGTTAATACCACCAACAATGTTTACAAGAAGATATGCTGAGTCAAGATGCGACAAGACTGACAGAATACTTTGAAGTTAAGAGTAATTCACTTAATTATAATATTTAGTCATCAATAGTCGTTTCAAGTTCTCTGCTGAACTCTCTCTCTTCAATCCTGACCCCCTAGGGGGAGTGTAGTGGTCGACGTGATGTCGTGTATTGTCCGTCTCCAGAGATCTCTGTCTCTGGTCATTTCTTTTAATTCATGCATAGGTCTTTGGTATATTCCTGTAATTTGATCTATACATCTTGTTGGGGATCTTCTTCGTGATCTTCGGCCTTCTACCTTTCCTTGTATTATGAGTCTTTCCATGTTTTCTGTGTTTGCTCTCATAACATGCCCAAAATATTTTAATTGTTGGAGATGGACTTTACTAGAGAGTCGTTGGTTAATTTTTAGCTCTCTTAAAATTGAATTATTTGTTCTACGGTCGGTCCAAGGAATTCGTAACATTCGTCTCCAACAGAACATTTCAGTGGCGTCTATCTTTCTTCTCTCCGATTGTCTCAGAGTCCAAGATTCACATCCGTAGGTCAGTATTGGGAATATTAAGCAGTTGATCATCCTCATCTTTTTCGCACTTGAAATTTGACAGTCCTTCCATATTTTGGTCATTTTTGCTATGGCAACTTCTGCTAGATCATATCTACGTTTAATCTCTTCTTGTAAGGACCCTGTGTTTGTGATTAATGATTCCAGGTATAAGTATGAGCTCACAACCTCGAAATGGTCAATTGTGGTTATGTGTGGATGATTGTTGTGTAGTCTATCCACTATCACGATCTTTGTCTTTGATATGTTTAATTGCAGACCAAATATTTGACTTTCGTTTTCGATCAGTCGTATAAGTTCCATCAGCTCTGCTTAACTATTTGCAAGAAGAGGTGTGTCATCTGCGAAACGTAGGTTGTTTAGTTTATGACCATTTATTGAGATGCCCTTTTCCCATCCTTCAAGTGCTTTTTACATAATATACTCCCCATATATGTTGAATAATTATGGAGATAGTATACATCCTTGTCTGACACCCCATTCTAAATGAAACTCGTTCGAAAGTGTGTCAAGTACTTTAACTGATCCAGTAGTGTGTTAATATAGTTCAGTTATAAGCGCAATTAGATGTTGTGGTACGCCTACTTCTTTTAGTATTCGCCTTAAGTGTCTCCACTTGACCCTGTCGAACGCTTTACGGTAATCTATAAAACAGATGTATAATGGGATGTTGAATTCTCTAGATTTCTCGATTATCTGTCTTATATTCAGCAGGTGTTCTTGAGTGCCTCTACCTTTGGTAAATCCAGTTTTCTCTTGTGGAATATCTCTTTGAAGGAATGTTTTCAGTCTCTCATTGAATATATGTAGCATTATCTTGCTGGCATGGGACATATCTCTGCTGAACATAGGTCCGTAAATAATTCCATTAATTCCGATCTTGAGCACCTTGAATCCAGTTGTGCCGGATGCTCTTGATATCGTCTGGCCACCTTGTTGGAAGATGTCCATTATTACGATAAGCATCGTGTCTAGGTATCTATTCTTAAATTTTCTTAGTCCATCTTTCATCTCTGTCTCTGGCAATGTGACCCATTCAGTTTCATTTTAGCGTTGTTTTTTTTTTGTTGCATCCGTAACACCAGTTTTTTTATAACAATTTGATTTGAAACTTTTTTGAACTTTTTCTTTTAATTTTTTTAATCCCTCTGTCCTTAAAGGATATATTCAATATTGACATCTCCATAGCCCTCTATGCCACTTGTATCTTGGATACCACTGGCGCTAATGTTTTTTCTATATACGTTAGACCTGGAAGTATACATTGATCAAAAACCGGTCTTAGTAAGCACCCATGTTAGTTTCATTCTTCTATTTAACTCTGTTGTTTGATTGTTTATCTTCCTAATTTAATCTCGTGGCCCAGATGCTTATAGGTATAAACTTTGCGTTCAATTTACGTTCCATCAGTTGAAATGTTTTTGGCCTGTATAAGGTTGGTCATGTATTTTGTTTTGAAAAAGGTAATTCTAAGGCCAACTCAAGAGCTCTAAAGGTATTAAAAAAGTTGGCACGCATGATGTGCCCGGTCTGAAATAAGTACTATCTCATCTGCTAAGCTCAAGTTGTTCAGAAGCTTCTCATATATATGTTGACTCCAATATTTCCCAATTATTGTTTCTAATAGCTGTCTGTAATAAAGTGATGAATAGTTTAGAAGAAATGATGTCTCCTTGTCTAATACTCTTCTCTAAGAAAATGTGTTTGTGTCGCCATAGTACAATGTTACTGCAGCTTTTATTATATCTGGTATTATATATATTTTGAAAAAAATTGTACACCTATGATCAATACTGCATTTCGTAAGAGCTTTAAACATGGAGCTATGCCCTACTAAGTTAAATACATTTTTAAAGTCTACAAATCTAAATACCATGCATATGATGTCGTCCCCTTAATACTACAACTAGGTAACTCGAAATTTTACGATTTTGAGTTATCTACCATTACCAATATAATTTTTGACGCTCTTTTTAATACTACAACTAGGTAAGTTCTATGACCATTCTATACTTGAGAATCCAATTACACACTAATAGCTATGACATAAGTTCGAAAAAAAAAATTGTTGCTAAAAGTGGTCATATTGAAATATCTAAATGTTCAACTGACAATACCAAAAATTTCTGCTGCAGCAAGTGTTTAACTTGACATACCTAATTGTGCGCCCGGGTAACTCGTGTTATGCGTTGCCTCCTCCGGATATTCTTTAAGATATCTATTTGTGCAGTTCGTCATAGCATACGTTGTGAGTGACATTGTTGCTTTATTTTTCGTAATATTTTTTGAAACAAAAGTAAAAATGTCTACAAGAGCCAAATATATATTAACATTAGTACGTGACTAAGACAAACAAGAAACTGAAAAAGACAACTAAATTCAGTGCTGTGGGATAAGAATATTACGATAAAGACAAAAAAGAGAATATATAATACCCTGACAAGAAGTATCCTGACATATGGGTTCGAAAACTGGACAATAAACAAGAGAAATAGAGGTAGAATAAGAGCAGTAGAAATGGAGTTCCTGAGGAGAAGCTGTAGACTTACAAAAAGAGACAGAATTGAAAACGCAGAGATTAAGCGGAGAACGGCAGTGCAATCAGACATAATCGACTATATAGAGGAGAAGAGACTATCCTGGTACGGCCACGTCAGAAGAGCGGACAGAGGACGCTGGATAAACAAAATCACAGAATGGAGCCCGATCGGAAGAAGAAAGAGAGGAAGACCCCGAAGGTCATTCAGAGACGAAATTGACGAGGCTATGGAGAAAAGAACCCTGCGAGATGGAGACTGGAATGACACGCAAAATTGGAGAAAACGGTTGAGTGAAGGAAGACAGCGAAAACTGTGGAAATCCTTAGTAATAGTAGTATTAGTAACGCCCAAGTCAGACGTAAGTAAGTTTTGTTATAAGAGTAAACTTGCAACTTATAATTTTACTCTATACGACTTGGGCAACAATCAAGGATACTGCTACGTCTGGCATGAAAAAATATCAAAAAGGGAGCCGAATGAAATTGCAAGCTGTTTTGGCATTTTTTTAAAAGGTAAAAAACAAGATGGCATTAGAAGTGTTATACTCTTTATACTTTATTTTTTCGATGTTTGCAACGATGCATCTGTGACTTTGGATCTGGAAATAACACACCCTTTGCTTGAGATGGGTCATACCCAGAACGAAAATGGCAGCATGCACGCTATAATAGAAGTTGTAAAGAAACGACATTCAAATATTTATACTCCTTACCAATGGATTAGCTTCATAAAGATGGCTAAAGTTACTTCCCACAGTATAGAGTGAAAGAAATGTCTCAAGAAGACTTTTTTAGTTTTAAGCCCACGGTTCAGAAACAGAATAGGAAGTGAACTAACACTAACACAAGAATATAAAATTCCAATTTACCATGGGTTTTACAACTCCTTGCGGCCTGCTAGTGAAGACATTCTACCATAGTGCTCTAGAGATCAAGAAACTGGTTCCGAATCTGAACAATAGCGGTGTATTGTACTGAGCAATTAGCCGTTAATTATTATTATAATTAGTGTCATAATGTCATGATAAACACATTGCTAAAAATAAAATATTTATTATTTTATGTGTTTTATTATTGTAGTATGTTTTTATAAATGAAATTTTTGTCGACGAAGACTGTAGTAACTCATTTAAAATCCAAAATCGAATATCTTTATGAAATTTATATTTTTTTGCAAATATTCTAATTGCACAAATCACAGGCCTACATTTTTATTTTCATGAACAAGTGTTTTATGTTGAATAGGTGTCCTATAGTAAATAGAATGTGCTGATCACGAATCTGTACTTAGTTTTTTATCAGCACGTCAGGTTTTCAAGAAAAGTGTGTTAAAAATTTTTTATAGAAACTGCCAAAAATTGTGAGAAAATATTTATTGAAACCTTATTTAATATAAAATTAAACTGCCAAAATTGTGTTAAAAAAAAAAGAATTTAATACAACCTACTTAGACAATATTTGTTGATTTTTTTTAATAACACCGTTCTCTTTTTCATGAAAACTGCTTTTTGTGGTCTTCTTTTTATGAATTTTTGGGATCGAGTCCCTTTTCAAGGTCCAGCAGTAATCAGCAATCAGTCTTACATCCCATCTTTCTAGGTAACGTCTTTTCACCTCCTTTATATCTTAATGTACCCTTTCTTTCAGCTCCTCGCTGACAGCTCCAGAATTTTCGGGAAAAAAATCAACGTGGTAATCCAAATAATGAAGTTTGACGCCCATATTGCATCCCAGTTTTTTTTATAATTTTCGACCATGTTAACTACAATTTCTGTATAGTCTGGAGACTTGTTGTTTCCAAGAAAACCGTCTATGAGTTATACGAAATAACTTTGTGCTTCAGATTCATCCTGGGTCATTGTATTCTAGAAAGATCTGTCTGATTTTATGGTTCGAATTTGAGGGCCTACAAAAATTTCTTTTTCATGAACAAAAATTTTTCCTGAAGTTTAACTTCAGAACGTGCAGGAAATTTGTCACACAGATATTTAAATCGGTCACATTGTTTATCTAAAGCTTTCTTTATGGGAAAAGGAGGCAAAAGAATTAATTTTAGGTCAACTAGTGTTGCACATTTTTTGTCCCGGTACTAGTCTTTCTCTGAGTGGCCACTCTTTCTTAATGTAATATAAATTTCGTGCTCGAGTGTCTCACTTGTATAAAAAACATGGACACTATGTGAACCCAGACTGCTGACCCAAAAGCATGGATATTATTTTGAGATCTTCACAGAATTGCCAACAATATTGGCTATACTTTCTTTAAGATTCACGGAGTGGGCAACCAGAAACTGAGGTACAGGTATTACCATCGTGCAACAATGACACTCTTCAGGCTTCTCTTAGAAGAATCATTAAATAACCACCATGATGTGGAATTGTAATTGTCAGCTCCCAGTTTCATGACTACTTTAGAAATATTATGACAATACACCTGTGAGCCCTCTTAAGAAAAATATTACGCGAACTCTTTTTCACGATGCTTATACTACAAAAATCTGGTACCTAGAGCCAATATATTTTATCTTTCAGTCGTGATCCTAAGATTTTTGTAGCATCCTTCGATAGGCCCAAGTCTCTCACTAAGTCATTTAGTTCAGCTTTTGAGGTTGGTCTATCTCAGGATTGAATTCATCTTTATCGGTTTTTTGTCTGAACTTTCATTTGATGATTATTGTTGGATGGTGTGAAGAAAAGTTGGAGGAAGAGGGATTCCTGGTTAATGTGATACAGGTCGTTTAGCAGAAGGTAAATCAGGATATTAAATATTATGTGAATTTTTTAAATCAAACCGTTAATATCTCAGGACTAAAAGAAGCAGTCGTCATGGTTTTTTGGTTCCCTACATACCATAGGAATGTCGAAGGGTAAAGAGTTACATGTATCTTTTATCCATTTTCTCAGTAGTTCGATACACTGAAAACACACTTTGTATGGAGCCCTTTACTTCATGATAAATCACTGCAAAAAGGCCTAAAAATTAACTTCCACAAAATAAAAGTAATGACAAACACGGAAGACCAAGAGGCAATAAAAATTAAAAGAGAAAAAATAGAACAGATAAATAAGTATATCTATCTAGGACAAGCAATCAGAGCTAACAGAGACAATCAAACAGCCGAAATATCGGGACGAGTAAGAATGGGACGGGCAGCGTTCGGCAAACTTTCTTACGTTCTAAAAAATCAAACAATTTCTCAATACTTACAAAGCAAAGTATATAACTCCTGTATAATACCGGTGCTCACCTACGGAGCACAGACATGGACATTTACACAGGCCAATTTGGATAAGATAAGAAAGGCACAAAGAGCGATGGAGAGACAAATGTTGGGTGTATCACTTAGAGATAGAAAACGTAACCAGTTAATCAGAACCAGAACAAAGACAGTAGACGCAATAGAACAAGCAGCAAAACTGTAGTGGAAATGGGCTGGACACAATGAACGTCTCCAAGACGGATAATGGAACAATGCCATCGAAAAGTGGCGTCCATACAATGCAAAGAGATTAAGAGGTAGACCACAGATGAGGTGGAAAGATGACATCAGGAAACAAGGAGGTCCCACATGGCAGGAAACAGCTCAAGATAAGGAAAGATGGAGAGAACTGGGGGAGACCTATATCCAACAATGGAAGGATAGAGAATAGGTTAAAAAAAAAATGGTGCCCAAGATTTGTCATGATCACCAAACTTTACAAACACCAATAAGGTATTTGTTTGCGCTAGTATATAATATCTCACAAGGTTTCTTTAATTTTGTGAAAATTTTAACGTGATGTGTACTGTTACGATTCAAATGAAATTAACATAATAATGTATTAAAATATTTTCTATCGACCTATCAAGTATTTTAAAGAAATCATTTTAATTCAATTTACGAAATATTAATAAGGTATTTGTTTGCACTAGTACATAATATCCCACTAGGGTTTTTTTTTAATTTTATGAAAAATTTTGACGTGATGGACCACCAAACTTTACAAACACCAATAAGGTATTTGTTTGCGCTAGTGTATAATATCTCACAAAGTTTCTTTAATTTTGTGAAAATTTTAACGTGATAGGTAGTGTTACGATTCAAATGAAATTAACATAATAATGTCTTAAAATATTTTCTATCGACCTATCAAGTATTTTAAAGAAATCATTTTAATTCAATTTTCGAAATATTGATAAGGTATTTGTTTGCACTAGTACATAATATCCCACTAGGGTTTTTTTTTTAATTTTATGAAAAATTTTGACGTCATGAGCTTAAATCAAATTCGTATTCAGAATCAGCGTACCTACCCGTATTAGCTAAAGACACATGTCAAACTCAAAACGCCAAAAATCATGCCGGCCTATGTAATTATTAAGTGAAAAAATGAAAAGCGTAATAGTGATAATTAAAAAATTACAAAACCTCACTTTTCACAATTATTATTAAACGCAATTATCTCTGAATGAGCGATTTTGACTTACAACAGTTTTCGTTGGGAGGATCGAATTATAGTCTGGTAAACAAACAAAATAGTACATTCGATGAAGTATTTCTAAGTTTTTATATTACAATTTCCCCTTGTATATCAAATTACCTAATTGATCAATACATTAGGTAGCATCATTTTTTATTGTTGATTTTAAATAAAAAATAATATTATATTCTAAAGCTACCGAATAACCAGTTTTTTTTTATATAAACTTTGTCTGTTTTAGAAATGTTGAAACTGAAATTGACAGAATATGGAGATCGTTTTGATAAATTGGATACTTTAAGAGTTAATGAATCCCTTCGCCCCACTGAACTTGGCATAGAATCACAAGAAAAGTTTGGAGTTCACGGAACATTTAGACAGTTGAATATCGACTGAGTTATAAATTACAAATGTTCTTGAGTTAACGCAGATAGTTTTATCCGTTTTAAGTAATAAATATAATTTATTAGGTTTTGATAAACTGCTCCCAAATTTTTTATTTAAATCCCTTTGCTAACTTTTACCTTTTGAGTAGTTTGTAATATAAATTAAAGACAACGACAAATATTAAGATCAAATATTAATGTACTTTTGTGGAAGAGAGGTAACTATTAGCCTGTAGTTAAATGCTATGTATGACATAATTACGTCTAAACAATAGTCATTGAAATTAATATCTCAAAATCTCATAGATTATTTAAAAATATGGACGTTATAAAAGCTTATTTAAATCGTATGGACAGAGCACGACACAGTATTAATCGACTAAAAATATAAAATGATATCTGGTCAGCTTTATTCTATGCATGTGAAACCTGGACCAGTTGTGGTCTTACCGTCGCATGCTCAGAATTACGTGGAGAGTCGAGATATTTTACTATAAAAATTAATGGGAAAACTCAAGTAGTTGGCTATATACCATCGTTAAAAAAACTTGTACAGTACAGTACAATTAAAACACTTCACATTTGTATTTAGGTATAAAACATACAATTAAAAGTTTTTTAAAAAGTGTCGTCAAAATTTATACATTAGCATAACGTGACCTTTCCGTTCTAATCAGATCATCTTCAGTACCCTCTTTTATAATTAAAGCTAACCCTAAATTTGTAGCTGTGACATCCATATATGGTTTTATATTATTCCAAATTTAAATTCTAATGTGACTAGGTCGATGACATTGGATAAAAATTTTTAGTACTTAAACAGCAACATGTCTCCTTGCTCGACTTGAACACGTAGTCCTTGTCAGTTAAAAGGACACAGACCAACTGGCTGAGGTGACAGGAAATATAATTCAAGAAAACAGCATTAACATGACGAGGTATGTTCAGAGACTAATGTAATTTTTAAAAATATAACATTTTTATGTAATAATACCTAATATCTTATTAATGAAAACCTTTAGCTAAAGTTAAATATGTTTAAAAGATAATATTTATTGTCTTAAATCTGCAAATTTCTATTATTGAAAAATGTAAGTTTTTAAATTAGTGGAAATAATGTTTGAGCTTGAATCTATGACATCATAAGTAGTATGAAAATTAATTGAAGTAGAAAATGAAAGGAAGTGATGTAGTACTATCCAAATAATAGTGTAAGAAATGGTATAGAAAGTAGTATATACTAAAAGAATAATCCGAAATCCAATGAAATTAAAAAAAACTTAATTGGGTAATGGTGGTTGCCTAACGGCGGTAACAGACCTTGTGTGTTAATATCTGAGAGTTTAGAAAGTCAAATAATAAAATGAATAAGCCTATTAAGAAAATGTATGAGATAATATGATAGCAGAATATGATATTCTAATTTAACTAATTTTACAAGGCAAGATAGAAGGCAAAAGATCTCAAGGGCGCAAGATCTCATTGTACAGTGGGTAGGAATGACTAACCATACATTTATTTAGAGCAGCTATCAACAACGTTGTATGGATCAACGTGATTTCCAACATCCATAGAGGATAGGAACCAAAAGTAGAAGAAGAAAAAAAAATAAACGATAGCCTGTTAAGGGAAGTGCCACATTCGCTGAAACAAACCCACTTAGCTGACCACTGTTACCAAAAATAAACTTTTGTAAGAAACTAGCTGCACTGTTTTAAATGAAAAGCGAACAGTTAAACAATAAAATTTTATCTAATTATGTAATAGCAGCTCATAGATCGGATAATTCTATTAAGCAGCAAAACCAATGCTGATTTTTTAAACTGTTTGTTCGGGCTATTAGGCAGTTGTCTTCTGAGATTAGTTCTCGACGTTTCACCAACACTAGAGGTTGGCATCTTCTGGAGATGTTGCTGCTTTGCTTGTAAGCTGAAACTGACTCCGCGTTGTACCACGGAGGCCATATTTACATTTTCTATTTGGCTCTCCTCCACTGATTTGGATATGCGGGGGCGTGTCGTCGTATGTCGCTTTTCTTTCTTCGTGTTTTGCAGAAAGGGTGTTTGTGGATTTTAATATTGGTATCATTGCCTTAGCTTGTCCTCAAAAGACAACGGCCTAACAGCCCGAACAAAGAGTTTAACAAGTTAGACGATAGCCCTGAAAGCCTAACGCATTTTACCAATGCTAATGTTGTGGGCATTAAGATCAGAACAGATCTCGAACTATTAGGAAAAATTAAATTATTGCATACGAATATTGGGCTAATTATAAAGCATATCCAAAGAGTAACAACAATAGGGGGCAAAGATCTATGATAGACTGTATTCTGTAGAATAGAGAGTTTCACTCCTCCCAAATCATGAATATAAGAGCACTAATATCAGCATAAATAACAATCGATCATAAATTAGTATTGTGCAAATTCCGAATGAATACACATGTGATAACAAAATACCGGAATATATTACAAAAATAAAAGTCAAAAGTTTACAGGATGACTTACAAGATAACTATTCTAAAAAAGAATAACCAAAAAGAGCAGAAACACATAATAACAGCTGAGCAAAAATTAAGTTAATTATTATTTTAGCATCGGCAAAGGAAGCTTCGTGAAAGAAATATAAATAAAAATAAATCGTTCTCAAGCCAACCAACTCCATCGTTTTGTACAAAAATAATGAAAAGAACCTGAAGTATATGTAAACCAAAACAAAAAAAAGCATACCATACTTACAAGCCAATAAGAAACGAAACACATGCACATGCAGAGGCAAAGGAACCAATAGAACAACCCAGAAATAAAAGGATACATGAATACTCTACCTAAAAAAGCGCTACGCACAGAAAGAAGAAACGACGCTCCAACCGGGTAAACCAGAAATCTGCATAAAAGAAGAACTTAATATAAATAGGTATACAAGGAGGTAAAATACTTGAAAAGCTAAATAACAAAAAGACGCAGGTAAAGACGGGATATCAAACGAATTACCAATATATTGCAAAGCAGCAATGACAAAACAAAAAACAACACTGTATACACAGCCTTGGTATTGTTTATTTTGTTGTTATTACTATTGTTGTAAAATTTATTTAATGTTTATTTGAAAACAGTTTCGATTATATGTTCAGCTCAGACTGGCGTCTCCAAGCCTAGATGTGGCTACCCTTACAGTTAGGTGGCATAACCACAGTCAATAAAAACAGAAGGTGTCTCATTACCCAGGACACCTTAAGCAACTTTCAGATCATAAGCCTCCTCACGTAAGTCACACGATGGGGAGGGGTGGAGGAAAAGCCTGGGGTTCAGATAGGTACCACTTCAACTAGTGAAGTGTGACCGGTTTGATCTTTGAACATGTGGATCCCACTTTTAGATTAGTATACACATGTTCCAAGAAGCAGGGTTGATCACTGCGCGTGTATGTGTGCAGGCTCCAAAATTATCTTCCAAGAATATCACTGGTTTTTCTTTAATAAGTCAGTTCATTTTCAAACTTTGAAATATATGTATACATGGCTTTTTGAAAGATAATTTTAAGAACTACAAAGCTAGATTCATTAGAAAGCCAAAATACCCTTCTAATTTGGAAACATTAAGGTTTGAAATACTGGAAACAGTGGGTGTTCACATCAAGACATACGGCATTTTAATCGGTAATCTGTATTGTTTTCTAGGGTACAGAAGTTTATTAGAAACAAAGATTATTAACCCTTAAACGGGCAAAATTTTATTTAAAGCGAATTATTAAAAATTTTACATTCTGTTTATTAAATATACATTAAGCAATGCAGAAAAAAATTTGTTATAAATTTTTATACACGTTTGAAAAAAAAAAACAGTATGTATATTGTGAAGTACATTGCCCATTTTTGGTACATACTAAAAATTCTTATAGAGATGATTTTGTTCAGAGGGATAGGTGAAGGAGATTCTTTTTAGAGGGTTAAAAATTGCGAACTAATTAATAATTATGTTAAAAAACTAAGAAAGCATTTATCAATTGCAAAACAAATAATTTTGTTCGACTAAAAGTAAACGTAAAAATTACAAAAAAATAAAAAAATATTTATCTAGTTGTTCTTTGTATGGTAAATTGTAAAACAATTTCTAGAGTTATTACCACTTACAATGCACAAACGTAAGCCACATTTTTGACAGAAAACCGTTATTTGCCCACTTACACAAAGTTTGCATCTTCCCTTCTCAACAAAAGTTGGAAAATGTCCGATTTGGTCATATCTGACGTCGTCTGTAGGTCTGGCTGTTACTGGTACTCTAACTTTTTTAGACGGTTGCACATCTGAAAATCAGATTTCCTAGTTTTAGTGATATTGTCACATTTTAGAAGCCATGGAGCTAAATGTAATCGAAACGTTTTCAATTTATCACATTTTCCATTTTCAGTAGCCTGCATATCTCTTCTATATATCAGCCAAGCGTTGTTTACAGAAATGTCTATTAGATGGGTAAATAATCCCAAATACCACCCGCGCGATTAGAAAGGTGTTTTGTATGAAGCGATCGGCATATCAGCTAAATCAACGCCTCCCATATGTTTGTTGTATTGTTTTATTAATTGAGGACAACTAACGTCAACTTTTTTTTCTTATTTTTACAGTATCTCTTTGTTTGGACAATAGGGCTATGGGATATATATGAACTAGCCAAAGTGACGCATTTAGTGTCTGCCCATTTTATTACAGCTACTCCTGCATTATTATCAACTTTGTAGTCAATGGATGGCTCTACCTTTTTTCAACAGAATTTTATCAGACTCCAAAGTGCAATTACGTAATCGGTTACTTCTTATGGTTCCCAGACTGTCTATTCTACGTTCATTTTTCAACAGTGTGATCAGTTCTAATGAACAGAACCAGTTATCAAAATATACAATGCTTTCCAAAGGATGAGGAATTGTTTTACACAGTTGAACAACTACTTTGCCGCCTGAACCCAGGTTAGATTCTTCTTCAGAAAAAACCATATGATCGAATCTAGAGGATTTCGTGTAAATAAAAAAGTCGTAAACTATTCCAGAAACTCCTGCCCTCACAAACATATTGAAACCCCACTTTCTAGATTTTTCGGCATGTAAT